AAGTCCCTCTGCGAAACAGCACCAAAAGCCTTGTTCTGGGCCTCCACCTGTGTACCAGGATTTGAGTAAGCGCCATGACTGGCCTGTTCAAATGCCATTGTCAATTTGCCAATCAGGGCCCAGTTGCTCGAAGCATGGTTAACGTTAACCAGCGTTTAATACCTTGACAATGTATTGGTTTTGATACCGCTTAACCAATGGTTAAAGCTAACCATGCTTTGAGCAACTCAGCCCAGGTTGAAAGGAAATTTGAAACACATTTCCGGTAATTTATTGAGTCTGTCAGGGGCCCAGAACAAGTATATCGGCGCTGCTTCGCACACATTGCTAACCGGAGTTAGTCTTAGTTTTTATTATCACCCCCATATCCAGGGTTGTCAAAAGTATCCGGCTGATGACGAAACTCGCCGCCTACTTGGTTAGTATTGGCCAGCTACTCTGGTTGGCATTTCTTTACGTACGGCTTTTTTTAAATAAAATATCCCTGGACTGGCTGCTTACTTTGAGATCTCAGCCGTCTATTTCAAACCTTTCTGACAACCCTGTATATCCGGCAAAGCCAGTAAACATCCACAATATCAACCAAAGACAGAAGTCAACACAGTGTGTAATCCTAATTACTTTCTTCAAGTAGTGTTTCGGGTAGAAAATTGGCTACAAAAAACCAAGCAAGCAAGTTGACTGAAACCCATTGACGTCTACAGGACAGGATCTACAAAATCTACCCAGTGGAACAGGTTTAAATCAACACTGACTTTATTATTTACAGAGGCAATGTCAGTGGCAAGAGCATACAAGTATGTCTGAGTAACGAAGCCACTGTTCTTACCAGTAAATATAAAATGGTAAAACTTTCTTTGATTTGCCTTAAAGCTGAGTACTAGCACACAAAAAAATCCTTTGGTCTTAACACCTACAACATTACTTCTGAAAACAGGAAGCTCCTACAAAAGTTTCATTTCTCTTAACTATTAAAAATAACAGAGTAATTCAGTGTTGATTTAAATTATTGTTTCTTTAATTGACGCCACATTCTCAAATGAGGAATTCAGTTCTGTTTTCTTCTGAAGGAGCAACCTACGAACAAAAGACAGAACAAATTAGGTTTGAAGATAGCCTCCCATGCAGACATTCTTGGTGTTTTGTCACATGTTCCTGATCCGTGAATGTTGAGGGGGATTGCATGACTAGCCAAAGGGACGTCTGCATAGGAGGCTAGCTTGGAGGGAGCACAAAGACAATGCTCAAGGAATACCTCTACATTTTTCCTAATAAGAAAAATAACAAGGCATGAGTTGGGCTGCAGTGCATAGCTACTCCTCTGCTGGGAAATGGTATATATATGTAGCTCAAGAAATAGGGAGACGGAGATGCATTTGTAGATCAATTTAGATGTAAGGGTGTGTTTGATTTACCATATTCCAGAATAAGAATTCATGCTATAAACTTTTAAAATCACTTGATTCGAATTTCGAGGCTCATGTGACACAAAGTACAAAGAGAATAGGTGAAGGTGTGTTTTGGCTTTCACTGAATGGTAAAAAAGCAGAGAAGGTACAACATTATTCCAAGCTAGAGGAGGGGGGAGGGGGGGGGGGAAAAACTTTTCAAGTTTTTTGGGGGAAAGGAAACGTTTGTCTTCCAAAAGGGCAAAAACAGCACAAAAATTTCAAAAACTTTATTACAAAACACAATTTGTACCAAGAAAATAAACTTTTAAATTTCCTTTATCTTAAAAATCATTACTTTTCATGTCGACATGAGAAATTACTCCCGTCTAGTATGACCAGAGGCGGCTCAGGATTGGAAAGGAAAAAGTCGCTCACACACACTGAAGTGGTTGCCTTTTCCCCAGCGTGGGCCATTTAAGCTTATTTTTTAAGCCACACTTTGGGTTTCTTGCACGAATCTGCTGCCCTTATTTTGGGGTATACGCAATTTTCGGAAGAAGAAGATTGCATATGCCTGGCAAGTGTCTAGGGAGGGGAGCTTAAGTCAGTCGAAATATAAAACGGCCAACCAGTAATTATAATGCTGCAACCGGGAATTTATTTTACCATTGATTGTTTATTTTGAGTGTCCAAGATGGGGCATTTAATGCAAACGAGATAGGAAGTGTTTAAAAGAGACAGTCGGCGTCATTCTCATAACTGTAGCAAGCTCAAGAAAACTAAATATGCTTTTGGAAATAAATATCAAAAGATTTTATAAATAGCAAAATAACCACTTCATCCATTGATTTGTCCAGGCCGTCCAGCAAACAAACCCTTGTTAATATTAAGCACGAAACTGATTGAATTAAATAAGTTTGCTCCTTTTTGCTATTTCCTACAAGAATAATTGTCATGGGGGAGTCCATTAGATAGGGGGGCATTTATTAGAGAGAGGCGAGGCGCTTGTTTGAGTTGGGTGAACCAACCTCTTTCCCAGGGTTCTCTCCTAGCCTTCCCTGCAAAGCGAGAGACAAAGAACCCTGGGAACGAGGTTTAGCGTAAGCAAGCAGTAACCAAAGGTTAGGAAATGCGGGCGAACAATTACGTTTACTTTAAAGGTGTGATTGATGTTGAAAACCGCTTTCATAATTGTGTACGTGAATCAGAGAAATCCCTTTTAGTTCCAGTGTCAACAAAAGGAATCGCGGGGAATCATGAACGAGGAAACTGATGACACCAAATGCTTTATTTGAATGACCATAAAGGAATTACAGTATTACAAAAGCTATTAGTGTAAATTTAAGTACTAATTCAACTAATTAGTACGTGCAAAACATTACAAAACGTTACAGTTGTCATTCATTCATTCATTGATATTAATTTGGTTCTTAATTCAAAGCATTGCGAGATAAATGAGACTACTTGACAGTTAATTAAATAATCAGAAGAATTCATAAGAAGAGATATTAAAGTATTGTGTGAAAGTGATTTGAAGTCAAGTATTTTAGTTTCTAGTTTGGAGAAAAATATGTCTCTGATCTGAGAATAAGCCTTACAATCTAGTAAGAAATGATTTTCATCTTCGATTTTGTTACTTGTACAAAAGTGACATATCCTTTCATTGCGAGGAATGTTTTCGTATCTACCTGTTTCAATTCTAAGTTGGTGACTACTTATTCTAAATCTAACTAATGCTTTTCTCGAAGGGTTTTTTCTTGTTAAAACTAGGTACGGCGAGGGGCTATAGTCGTCTTTGATTGTACAATAAAAACTGAGTTTTTGTGATTGTTGAAGGGTCTGATTCCAGTAAGAGACGTATTTATTTTTCATTATGCTGATTGAACAACACAATAAACAAGACTCATATCGAATTCAACGATTTTATTTACAGTTGCTCAGATACAATTAGCCTGCAGACGGTGCGAATCGAGGAGAGACGGCTGTACGTATTTGCAGGCAAATGCAAAGGTACAATAAAAACAGTAATGCGTGACATTTTAAACAATGCTCAACGAGGAGTGTGTACAGTTATGACACTTGAAGTCTTATTATTCAATCGGATGTTCAATCCTTGTTTAATGAACAAAGATCGTTGAAATGGAATAGAAAATCTTGTAAAAACGTATTGAAGCTTTCAGATGACAAGCGACGTAAGCTTGGAAACGTATAGAAATGAAGATAAGCTTATTTACATGGATTTATAGACTTTGCAATCACTAGTGTCTTACCGAAGACTCTTCCCGCACTAAGCTGAGATCAGGCTCGATCTACTTTTCATTTCCCTTGGTAAAAAGATTTCTGGCCGGCAAGGTGAATCGAAAATTAATTACGTCTCGCATCTAGTACATTACGTGTATAGCTGAATTTAGTACGTACGTTTTCGAATCGAACAAATACTGTGTTGCATCAGAGTGCATTTGCATTTCACGTGATTACCGTGACATCAGATGGACCTTAAACTCAACACTAGGGCCTTCATACCTACACAGGTATCCCAAGAATGTGGAAAGATTTTGGAAAAACTTCATTATACAGGTTAAAATGTGCCGCTGACCAAGAATAGTCTGCGGTTTTCTCTTGTCGCCCGCAATTAGATCATTTACGGTACATTAGGGACCTTGAGATCCGAGAACGTCGACGGGAGCGAAAACCGATTGCTTGGAAAGTGAATTCGCCTTATTTCAATCTTCATCGCGATTATTCCATTTTAATCTCCACTGCAATTATTCAAGTTTTGGCAAAATTTAAACCCTCCTGGAGTTGAATTCCTTAGAACCACATCCAAGTTCAGAGAGAAAAAGGAAATTTCGCCGATGCTTGTTTGCATCCCCAGTAAAACGAGAAATTAGGCATTTTCTCGACAAAGTCGTGCAGTGACGGCAAAGAAATGTATCAAAACAAATTTGAGTGTATAGGCAGATTTGTTCCAAACCTATTGCTTTTTTGACGTTCTCGTTGCTGTCGCCTTCGGCGGAACTTACGTTTCTTAATATCATATGTACTGATAGACAATACTATGGTTGAGTGTACAGTTGTTGATCAGTAGTTTCATTTCTCTTACCTGCACAAACAACGTATTTCAATTAAGGAGGTTTAATCGATGACATAGTCCATCTTGATCTACACTAGACTAATATTTTCTGCTTGTCCATTGGCCGTCTGTAAAATGTTTTAAAGGAGTTTAGTTGCTCCGACATTAAGCTTCAGCAGTATATATTCTGTTGCTACTAGCAAACTGCAAAACAGCCTGTGTTTCTGCGTGAAGGTCTCGTGGAGTGAGGATGAAATTAAAACAGAGAGTGAGACTATACGTGCGAGGTCTACACCCTTTGCGCGAAAGTAATCTTGATCTAAACTAAACTACTATTTTCTGTTTTTCCAAGGGCTGTTTGTAAAATTTTTAACAAGAGTTGAGTTACTCTGGCATTAAGTGTTCACAGTATATATAAGCGGTTTCTGCAGGATAGAACATAGTCTCGGCGGCTGGCTGCGAACAGTTACATATACAAGAAAGGGTCAGGCTCACTGTCTCTGTATCTGCGCCGACACGAATGCAGACAAATCTTCCTAAATTATATAGTTTAACATGATGAAGAATGCGTAAGTAGCTACTAACAAGCGGTTTAATTCTAGTGTGACTCCTGATGTATCGGGAAGTGGAAGACAAAAATCCCCTGTACTGCAGCAAGTGATGTTGCACTCGACTTTATAGCCCCTCTGTTTAATGGTGTCGCAAATTGTAAGCTTTTCTTTCGCATCGCTGCACATCTGCTGAGTCGCGCAGCCATAGAAGAAGCTTTTGAGGGAGCCAGTTTCTGTGTAAACCTCAGTGGAAATATTGGCGCAGCTGTCCGCTACATCCGGGCATGTCGTTTCATTGCTGGATTTACTGCAGTTAGCAGCTGATAAGGAGCTGAGGCAGTGATGACATTTTAAACTGTTCACTGTGTATAAAATGGGAGAAAAAAGAATTAGCATGTATTGTAGCCCTACTGATCGATGAAAGGTGCCAAGTATCGGAGAAAAAATAACAGTCTTGCCCCTGGTTGATGTTAAGCCAAACTGAAGTCCCGAAATAACACACAAATTGAAACAAAGAGGCAGGCAACAACTCAGCAAGAAAATTTAATTCATGGAATGAAGCCTTTTAGGTACAGGCAACTGGTAGATTAGCCTTATACTATTGGCAATTAACCGATTGAAGATAAAGACAACAACAGCAACAATCTCAAATTAAGATAAACGCTTCCGGGAAAATTATTCAATTCGCGAAATCCTGGGGCGTGGACGTGATACGTGCCTATGTATCAACATTCTTTCCTCCCTCCCCTCCCTATAGTTTTACGCGCAATCCTCCCTCGGGTTCTCGAGGCATTGGCGATACGCATATTTCTAAATACTGAGGCAAGAAACTCCTAGAAACTATCTTTTCAAAACGACAACACAGAAAAACCCAGAAGGTATCCTACGTATTTTCTAAATGGGCGTTTGATTGTGTCACACTCTGGCATTCTGAATAATCGATCTGACTGTAGAAATTCTAAATGATTGTCCTCTGAACTGTTTCACATCTTGATCGACAATGAATAGGAGGCTTCTGACGTCCGTTGCATCCACAATCTTCAGATAAGTTAGTTTTCCTGTGTTACCTATGTTAATTCTACGGAATACGACCTATTGGACGCAGCCTTAACATTTAATGGTGGTGCATTATAATCCGACTTCTTCTGGATTGACTCGTGTTTTTTGGGTTCTTACATAATCGAGGCCCTTATTGAGAAGACAAATACATTGAATTTGCGTTTCTTTGCTTACCTGTCGATAGGAATGCTACCATCAATGTACACAAGATCAGGAACCGATTACCAACCTTAACACACATCACGAGCAAACAAGAGAATTAGGTGTTCAGTTGGAAAAAAGTCGAGAAGGGTTAGCTCGCTTCTGATCTGTTTGTTTTTGCAGAGTCACTCCTCCAGGGGGTCTAGCCTCCCACGCAGATGTTCTTAGGGTTTGGTCACGCGTTCCTGCCCAACTAACGCGTGACGAACCCCTAAGAACGAGGCTACCAACGGGTGATGCAAATTACTTACAATCTAATTGGCTTGGGTACTTTATTAGAAGTACAAACTTGAATTTTAACATTGTGTTCAAAAGTGACTGGGCAATATCTTGCCATAGGGTAGCTCAACCTCTATGACCTTTTTGAACTTTTTGATGTCACTTTATTTGGGGGCCCCGATTTCACTGCGTAATGGGGGCAAATATGCGATTTCATGGAAAGGTTTTGCTTGCGAATGCTTTTTAGACCTGTCTCGATTGTGTTCGTAAAATGCTGGAAAGTTGCTTACTGGAATGCCAAAAAGTTGCTAAAAAATCGCCGAAAATCCAAAAAGTTTTGAAAGCTGCTACCGAAATTTCTGCATATTTTTACATAAACGTCAATTTAAAGCTTTATTTTATGTTCGTTACAATACTGTACCGTACAAACATCGGTCCGGAAAAAAACGCTTGAAGGTTAGCTTTAAAGAGATGCTCGCAATTATGAGAGAAACTTAAACGGTGCTAATTTTAAAATTGTTCATACGACAAAAACTGCCTTTTTAGGCCTGCGAAACGTTGTTATGTTTCTAATGAGCGTATGTTATACATCGCGTCGCTCAAATAACGTGACATCAAAGAGTATCGCTGTCACGCCATCAAAAATAACTCAGATTCAAACCAGTCAATACAGAAAGTCCAGAATCTGGGAAATGAAAGAAGATAAATATTCGAAAAGCCTCACCAAGAATCAGGTCTGTGCGATAATTCATATGTGAGATATTCGGAAAAACGTTTTACCCAAATTTTTAGGCTTTGTTTGGAGACGCCATGTTGGTGTCCCTTCGCAGGGGCACAAGTGTGGCAGCAGGAAAACAACAGAAACATCTGTTTTTGAATTTTCCTACTTAATATGCGTGAATTCATCGCTTGAGGAACTCATAATTGTTAAAGTAATATTTATCCCAAGACAAGGAATGTTTAGATAGCAAAATCTATAAAAATCAGAAATTTTAACCCACATAAGAGCTTTCCGGCTGACCAACTAAATGGCGCGTCACGCAAGAGCCTGGCAACACAAGCGTCTTCTATCGCAAAACTAAGAACCCCTTCGTACCCTTTTCTGAACAAAACATTCAAGGATTTTTCAAGGACTTTGAAGGACACATTTCGCATTTTTCAAGGACCACATTCAGTGCAAAAAAAGAGCCTTGAGTCTGTGTCTTTTTTTAGTTCTTCCACATCAGGAGAATTTTATCCCAAAGGTCTTTGTGTTTGCTCCTTTTCTTTTGCATTTCTCCTTAACTATTAAGTTAGCATTGAAATTCAAGGACTTTCCAGTACCGACTACAATTTTCAAGGAATTTCAAGGATTTTCAAGGTGCGTGCGAACCCTGTACTGTACCGAATAGCTTTTTGTGTTGGCATGAAAAGCTATTTACTATACTGTAGCCATGGCCTTATCATGAGGGGGCAAAAAAGCACCTAGACTAACATCTGAAGAGCAGGGGATGTAGACCCTTGTGGAGTGGCCTAGACTAAGGTATTTTTCCTGCGTTCTTTAGGGAATGGATAGCCTGCGCCACAGACGGAAATTAACTTCTGGTTTAAGTCCCTCTGCGAAACAGCACCAAAAGCCTTGTTCTGGGCCTCCACCTGTGTACCAGGATTTGAGTAAGCGCCATGACTGGCCTGTTCAAATGCCATTGTCAATTTGCCAATCAGGGCCCAGTTGCTCGAAGCATGGTTAACGTTAACCAGCGTTTAATACCTTGACAATGTATTGGTTTTGATACCGCTTAACCAATGGTTAAAGCTAACCATGCTTTGAGCAACTCAGCCCAGGTTGAAAGGAAATTTGAAACACATTTCCGGTAATTTATTGAGTCTGTCAGGGGCCCAGAACAAGTATATCGGCGCTACTTCGCACACATTGCTAACCGGAGTTAGTCTTAGTTTTTATTATCACCCCCATATCCAGGGTTGTCAAAAGTATCCGGCTGATGACGAAACTCGCCGCCTACTTGGTTAGTATTGGCCAGCTACTCTGGTTGGCATTTCTTTACGTACGGCTTTTTTTAAATAAAATATCCCTGGACTGGCTGCTTACTTTGAGATCTCAGCCGTCTATTTCAAACCTTTCTGACAACCCTGTATATCCGGCAAAGCCAGTAAACATCCACAATATCAACCAAAGACAGAAGTCAACACAGTGTGTAATCCTAATTACTTTCTTCAAGTAGTGTTTCGGGTAGAAAATTGGCTACAAAAAACCAAGCAAGCAAGTTGACTGAAACCCATTGACGTCTACAGGACAGGATCTACAAAATCTACCCAGTGGAACAGGTTTAAATCAACACTGACTTTATTATTTACAGAGGCAATGTCAGTGGCAAGAGCATACAAGTATGTCTGAGTAACGAAGCCACTGTTCTTACCAGTAAATATAAAATGGTAAAACTTTCTTTGATTTGCCTTAAAGCTGAGTACTAGCACACAAAAAAATCCTTTGGTCTTAACACCTACAACATTACTTCTGAAAACAGGAAGCTCCTACAAAAGTTTCATTTCTCTTAACTATTAAAAATAACAGAGTAATTCAGTGTTGATTTAAATAATTATTATTGTTTCTTTAATTGACGCCACATTCTCAAATGAGGAATTCAGTTCTGTTTTCTTCTGAAGGAGCAACCTACGAACAAAAGACAGAACAAATTAGGTTTGAAGATAGCCTCCCATGCAGACATTCTTGGTGTTTTGTCACATGTTCCTGATCCGTGAATGTTGAGGGGGATTGCATGACTAGCCAAAGGGACGTCTGCATAGGAGGCTAGCTTGGAGGGAGCACAAAGACAATGCTCAAGGAATACCTCTACATTTTACCTAATAAGAAAAATAACAAGGCATGAGTTGGGCTGCAGTGCATAGCTACTCCTCTGCTGGGAAATGGTATATATATGTAGCTCAAGAAATAGGGAGACGGAGATGCATTTGTAGATCAATTTAGATGTAAGGGTGTGTTTGATTTACCATATTCCAGAATAAGAATTCATGCTATAAACTTTTAAAATCACTTGATTCGAATTTCGAGGCTCATGTGACACAAAGTACAAAGAGAATAGGTGAAGGTGTGTTTTGGCTTTCACTGAATGGTAAAAAAGCAGAGAAGGTACAACATTATTCCAAGCTAGAGGAGGGGGGAGGGGGGGGGGGTAAGAACTTTTCAAGTATTTTGGTGCAATGCAAAGCTTCTCTCTCAAAAGGTGCAAATCAGACACTAATATTCATTAAACTTTATGCAAGACAGCATTAGTGCTCAAGATATACACTTTTTAAATTCCTTTTACAGTCGCCGATTTAAATTATAAATTCATTTCAAACAACTAAAAATGTGTTCTAAATACTATGAATTATTCTAGGGCACTGACAAATACCTTAAGACTATATAAGGCTTCAATAGATGATAATTCAACAATAGTGACAGGATGTAATAAAAAAAGTTTTCCATAGGCGAAAATCCAAAATGCAAAGATTTAGTGGTGGCTAATAAGAATCAAGCCACAAGGGTGTTTTCTTAGTAGAGGTTCCAACAGATCTGCTTTATGGAAGACAATTTATTGCATGCAATTTCTAAGTTTAGGTATCTGGAGTTCCATGTTGTTGCTAGAAGCTCTGCATGTACTACAAATAGCTTAGTACACATATAGGTCAAGTGATGATGTGCACACAAAAACACTGCATACCTTCTGTCAGTCTTGCCCGCCCTCCTGTAGGTTGACAAAGCACCATGGAACATGACACACAAAGCACAACTGTTTGAGCATGACTGAACACAGTTGTAATCTTGTAACAACCTGAGAGGCAAGAAATACTTAATACTATGCATGAAAAGCCATCACAGTACTTGCCGTAACGTTAAGGGAACAGAGGGGATAACTGGGAACATAAACTTTGACTGACAAGGAGATTTCACCAATGATTCCATACAGCATAGCCTAATTCAGTTAATAGAAGCAGGCCACCAAATTGACTGAGACACACCAAAAAACCGGTATTACATACGTTGTGGTTCAATTTTATCCTTAGTTTAATTTTTATTTTCTTTTGTTTTAAACTCATCATTATACATTACCATAACCCCCCAAAAAAAGAAAATAAAAATTAAACCGAGGATAAACTTGAACTACAACATATACATTGTAGGAGACCATTATATTGTACTTCTGCAGGAAAGAGCAGATTCAGAACCTTCAGGATGAAATCTGGCTAAATGACCATCATAAATTTATGAAGAAACCTCTTTTCTACGACTTCTAATACTGTCCACACTCCCCACCTGGGCCAGTCACATTCACATTGTACACGCCCACATATATTTTCACTTCCCAAATACCCCTACCCCCACCCCATTTAAACCAAAAAAATAGATAAATAAATAAAGGAAAAAGCTATACCACTGTTTTTGTTATCCTTTAATAAATCTTGTAAGTTTTGGCCACTTCTAGTAGTGAAAGGGTCATGGCCTTGTCCACACATATCCAGATAGTTTTGGAAACAAGATTTTTTTGATTTTCAAAAAATTATGCATTAAAAATTAGCATGTTTGAATCGTTTCCACCTGTCCAAACAAAAATGCTAAAATGACTGAAATACAATTGAGTGTTGATGTATGAAGAGTAACATCATCATATTCCAAAACCTAGGAGAATTAATAAGGTGATCACCTACAAGAAAATGCTTTGTTCTTCAAACAAATTCTTTCAACTAATTCTATGCAGATTAGTCTAGAGAATTTTGGACATTAGCGCTTGATCAAGCAGCCAACTATCCATTACTAGTCTAGGTATTTTGGGTGATTGCTCACAGAAAGGCGAGAATGTATCAACATCTACCATCTGCCTGATCATAACCATTTTACAGTGGTTTACTAAGCATTCACTACAAACTGGACTAAGCTATCAGTCAGCAAACAAACTTACCAGGACATTTAACGTCCATAAAGTAGCTGTTTGGACTTTGTACAAGCCTCTTAAGTTTGTGCTTACGCTTTTCTTCTTCCACCGAGGGATGCAAAAGATCTTTGAACAACTGCAAATGATATAACAAACAGAGATTGAAATAGGCATTAACGTTCCATATCCTTGTGTTCTTGCTGGTGGACACTGAATACAAAACAATATCCATACCTACAATCTTGGACAAAACAGATGGAAAACTTAGACCCCCACCTCCCACCAAATCAAGAATGGAAAATGGTGTGTTTTTCCCTTAAGAGATTACCTCGCTTATTTAAGGGGGGGTGGAGGTTTTCAGGCTGCAAAGAAAGTCTTGTCTGATAGCATAGGGCTAGTGGATTTTGCTATCAGGCAAGTGAATTCTCTTCTTCAGTTGCCCAACTGGTAAGTGAAGCTTTATATGGAATTCAAATTACAGAGGAATTCTCCTCATCAAAATAGTATTTCGGGCTGGTTAAAATGACTCTTGGGCTAATATACGTCAACTACAGCTTTGCCGAGCAGCAAGCCGTAAAACAGACTTTCTTTGCACCCCGGGTTTTGCTGTTCCATTTTATTCTGTCAAAGACTGTAGGTTTTTCGCTAGAACACAGCAACAAGTACAAAGAGAATGACTGGTTTACACACTACGATAAGCCAGCCCAAAGCGACATCAGGCCGATTTTAATCCTGGTGCTTTTCTTTAGGCGGAAAATCATAGCCTATAAATCAATCTCAGAAAAGGAAACTCTGAGTTAACTTACTACAAAAAAACAGTTATCATAGATGGAAAACTTAGACCCCCACCCCCGACCAAATCAAGAATGGAAAATGGTGTGTTTTTCCCTTAAGAGATTACCTCGCTTATTTAAGGGGGGGGGGGTGGAGGTTTTCAGGCGGCAAAGAAAGTCTTGTCTGATAGCATAGGGCTAGTGGATTTTGCTATCAGGCAAGTGAATTCTCTTCTTAAGTTGCCCGACTGGTAAGTGAAACTTTATATGGAATTCAAATTACAGAGGAACAGTTATCAATCCTCCTCATCAAAATAGTATTTCGGGCTGTTTAAAATGACTCTTGGGCTAATATATGCTAACTACAGCCGAGCAGCAAGCTGTAAAACAGACTTTCTTTGCACCCCAGGTTTTGCTGTTCCATTTTATTCTGTCAAAGACTGTAGGTTTTTCGCTAGAACACAGCAACAAGTACAAAGAGAATGACTGGTTTACACACTATGATTAGCCAGGCCAAAGTGACATCAGGCCGATTTTAATCCTGGTGCTTTTCTTTAGGCGGAAAATCATAGCCTATAAATCAATCTCAGAAAAGGAAACTCTGAGTTAACTTACTACAAAAAAACAGTTATCACACTTCTCTGAACTACAGTATAATAGCATAGTTATTATAATATTAAAACCATAATATCAGTTGATTAACCTTAATAAATTCTCATTTCAGCTGTTTAGTCAACCTTCAAAACAAAACTTTAAAAACGTTCCTTCTAAGGGAACAGAGCTCTCCCTTAAAAATCTAACGCTGTGCATATAACAAAGGTCCTCAACATCAAGGAAATGTAATCACCAAAATTGATTTCTGGTGATACTTAGCTTGTGTTTCAAAAGTTAACTGCACCAAAAGTGGGAAAACGATAAATAATCCTTTGTTGATAACCAGAAATAAACCGACAGACAGCAACTCTCAAAATCCTTAGCACAGCTAGGACTTCCACACTCACGGTTTTTAAAGTTATTTTTAACAGTTGCTTCAAAGCGAAACCACATCAACTTCTCCAACACAACAAAAATTCAACATGATCATTTCGTGCCCAGGGGTAAGGATTTCACTATTCAAGCCAAAAATCTGAAAGATCAAGCATTAGCCTAGATTTAACGTGATTTCTGGCTTTTCGCGTTCTTTCTGAAACATGCAATAAAGAAAAAGCTTTCCCCTACTGACCGGCATGGTTCTGCCTTCGAATCGAAAGACCAAAAGAGACAGAAACGTGCAAAGCTCAAATGGATATACGGGGTGGCCACCAATAAACAGCAGGGCCTTGGTTGCACAACGTTGTGCAATATAAAGGACTGGACTGGAAACTACAAATAGCCAAAATGAGCAGCCGAGCCTTAAGAGCCCACAGATTGTCCTTCCTGCGGCTTAGGCCACCAAAAAAACTGTGACGGAAATAAAAAATCCCAATCACAATAGTATATGTCACGCAATCCTTTAGTCTCTTGGCTTTACTTTCATGTTTATTTTCATAAATGCGGTAAAAAAAAAACAAAGATATCACTACTTTTATCGTAGTCTTTCTTGTATATTGACGCTGCTCACAATCAGGTCAAACCATGGTCAAACTAAAACGCACGTTTGACGCACGTTCCTATTTTGAGCCCTGTCTTAATCACACTTCCGGCACGTGACATTATTGTTGATGACAGAATTTGGCCTTTGACGAGAGCCAATCAGAAGACTTATATCAAAAATCAGTTGTTTGGCTCCAATATATCGAGCGCAAAACAAAAACTTTTTTGTCGAGGAATTCATCTGTCTGATTAGTCGTTTCCTTCGAAAACCTCTCTCCAATATTTTGTGTTGGCTGGCCAACAATATAACGACATGTCTTTCACTTGATACTTTTGGCAGAACAATGAAGCCCGGCGAAGGTAAGCTAGTGGACTTGTATTTTCCCAAGTTTAGTTGGGGTAACAGCTGACGTGTTTTTCAACTTGAAATTTGCCTGTTTTGAGCTTTTTCTAAAGCGAATTCTAGCATAATATGAATTCTTCTAAAAGGACATATGTACTTCTTTCTAAAGAATCACCATAGGTTCCAAAGTACGGCCAAGTTGATCTGTATTACGAAGAATTTTTTTCTTGTGTTATGAACAAGATATGTTAAAAATTCCTCTATCGATAGCTTCGAAATGTCTATGCTCAAGCTTAAATCGAATTATTACTTTGCTTCATTTATTATAATACAAGGACTGTTATGTTCTTGTAGTTGTATGGTTCCTCAAGGAAATTATAATTAATACTGGGCAGCTTTTCTTTTCACGTATCAGGCTGTGTAGATGTTTAATACAGCAACGCGCATTCCATGCTCCTGGTAAATGTCTTTATAAGCTTACGTACTTTTAAGTTAACAGTCACTGGCGCACACAGCATGTTCATTTAACCAGTCATTAATAAGACGCGAGGAACGTTTTGAATTTCGGTTGTACTTTGAAAACATTTTAGTCCGACAAAGCTGATAATTCACCTGTAATTTTCCAACTAATTTAATGTGCATGTAAGGTTGTTATCCCAGACAACATGAACCGAAGTGTTTAAAGCTGTTTTAGTCAAGAAATGTATTCTATCATAATATCAAACTGCTGAGCATATTGCCTGGCTTATTTACATGTTCTGTCTGTCAAACCTTCGTATGTTTTTACTGAATACCCACTTTTCATCACTCCAGGCAAGTACGATCTCTAGGGGCAAAGTTCACTTGTGAATATTAAACATAGTCAATTGTCCATGACCACTTTGTAAACAAGAGTTCTTTGCTGTGAGAAATATGTAAGTTGTTGTTGCAGTCAGGACACTGAGTGCATTTTATCAATGTGAGAGGTAAAAAAACATTTCTCTTTAATTTCTGGCTCCCCATAATTAAATTCAATATTGTTGAGTGCACCACATCTCCAAAGATTAGAACTGCTTTTTAAAGAATTTCTAGTGATTCTTTGAGTATGGGCAAACATGAAGAAAAATGAAATGGGGGGTTTTGCTTGGGTGGGTGGGTGGAGGGGGGGGTACTCCTGGGAATTTTTGGTGGGACTGTGCTGCCCGGTTCTTCAAATCCTGACCCTATTTGACACCAAAAAATGTAATTTTCCACACCTGTTTTCATACCTAGGCCTGCGGAAATTATGTCATCATTAATTTAGATTAGTGCACAAACAAAAAAATTCTTCAAATCCATTTTGAATTCTCATATTCCTCTTTCTTTCTTAGTCATCTGGAATTGTAACAGTTTATGATATAGATACGTTCATACACTCCTGTAGTTCCCTCAAAACCATATCTGATTCCAGACCAAAATCGTCAAAGTGTATACCCTTTTTCAGACCAAAACGGCGCGAAAACCCTACCTGATGGGGTGGCACATACTTATATAGCTTATATAAGGGAGTACCCCCCCCCCCCTTAGGGGGTTTTGAAAGTCAGACTCGTGACATGTAGGACTCCCCTGCCCCTGAAAAAGGGCTCATATTAATATTTGCTGTAGTGCTGTATTCTTTCTATCTCTTACATGTGAGTTTCCAACTCACAGAGCTCCTCTAAGACATAAAAATATACTATCAATAATGTAATGATTTTCTTTTGGAAAGAGGGTGTAATTTAGGAGCAGTGGTTAGAACTTTAAGCATATCCTATTTCCAGTAGTGACAAAGGACAGGATTTAAGCACTGATCTTTGCTGTTCAAAGACTGGGGATTAATTCAAGTTAAGTTATGAAACCTTTGTTTTAAAAGAAGCCACCTAAAATGCAAAGATTGAGTGGTTACTTATGGAAGTTGCTCACTTACGAGAATCAAATCACCAGTGGTGATCCCTGTCAAGAAAAGGTGCAGACACATCTACTTTCTGAAAGAGAAGTAATTGCATGTAATTTCCAATTTACCATGTATGTAAGAGTTCTTCAGTTACTCTGAGGAGGGTACGGTTGAAACTCTAAACAGCCACCTCTCCACAATGGCCACTTTTTTGGGTAGACAGCTTACACATTGACTCTTGTTTAAACATCTCTCTACAATAGCCACTCTTTCTTCTGTCCCTGAGGTGGCCTTTGTGAAGAGGTTAACAACCTTACTGTAGTACATATGTTGTGGTTCAATTTCATCCTTGGTTCAAATTTTATTTTCTTTTGTTTCAAACTCATTATTATGTAATTAATCATACATTACCATACCCAAAACAAAAGAAAATAAAATTTGAACCAAGGATAAAACTGAACAACAACACGTACAGTCAATAAGACCATGCGTCAAGTGGTCTCTTATATTTTATTACAAAAGGTTAAAAACAATGGAAAATTATCAAACCATCACTCAAAAATGGCTGCGGTCACCAGAATCATAAGAGCTGGTTCTTTAGCTAAATATGAGAGGAAAATTATAAAGTGGATAAATGGAAAAAAATTGGCATTTTGGATAAATGGTTGCTAATTGAAGGTGGTTGCTTTGTTGAATCGGTCACATCCATTGAGGTTTAACTGTTTTTTGAAATTTTTTTTTCTGTTTTGATTTAAAGTGTTAACAGAGGCAGAAGGTGATGTTGCTGGTGAGATGGAGTGTGAGATGCAGGCAAGAGACTTCTTCATACACATTGGAATGCTGATAGTGGAAGGTCGTACACCACAGCAGTCAGAAAAAGGAAGAGCTGAAGGACCTCACTGCCTGTCCTTGATTAGTGTGGCCCCTCACGTCTGTAACCCACATGTAAATTACCTTGTAAGTTCAGCACCTTCGAATATTTAAAATACAGTCTGGTTTTTTTTGTCTATTCAAACGAATACATTTTCAATGAATGTACAGCATAGAGAATTTCTAGCATATATCCCTAACACTAGTAATATAAATCCATTTTTTAGTGTCAGAAAGTATGTGAAAGAAAAGAAAAGATGACAGTGTTGTGGGAGAACAGTTCTCCTATGGTGATCACAGTCCTGATGCAGAGTCCAGATGATAGCAATTGGATTTTGCTGGAGAAGTGGACAATTGAAGCTGTTGATGGGTACGTGACATGAGTACTACAGTACAACCACATTGAGAGGAACACCAATGGGCCAGGAAAGTCTGGTTATAAAAAACAGAAAATGACTGAATGTTTTTAAATTAGGGCCAAAAAATTGTTGTTGTAACAACAGGGTGGTCAAAAAGCAGGGTCCTACTATACTGTTAAGTATCAGCAACCATTACTTCTCTTTTCACTGCTGATGGTCATTATAATTTTATTGTAAACCTTTTGGCCAGCAAAACACTTATGGCTGGCAGGTAACGACCATATGGCCTGCAACAGTTGCTAGTGGTTTTGGGTTTCAAACTTTGAATTAAAGTTTTGTTAATGTGTAACAGTCAATGATTCTGTTGGTTAACTGTTTGCTGACAGATTTTTTTTTTGTTTTTTGATTTGAATGGAGAACCCATTTTGTTGATAATATTTTGGAACTATATTCATGAGAACTATCAGTCTTGAATACTTGTCTGCTGGTTGCTAATGGTGTTTTCAATAAACAATAAGCTTGTAGTCAATCACACCCCAATAAAATGGACATCAGTGAAATTCCTGCAACAATTTACAGATATTTGAGTGAAGTAAACTCCAGACCTGCAATTACAGGCCAATACCTGTTGCTCTCAAGGATGGTAGACTCACAGTCCCAAGGGTGTCTCCAGTAATCAAGTTGACTAGATGCAATTATTGGTAAAATTATTTACTTCCCCTCTATAGGATAGGTGATGTGCAGAGTTGCAGTGGAAACATGCTGATCCAAGCTCTTAGATCTCACATTCACTTTTCTCAGCTCAGTGCCTGGCTGAGCAGAAGTAAAGGTTCTGTTCCTTCACAGGTCCTTTACAGGTGAGTATACATGTAGTACAGGATGATAATAACAGGGATCTAATATTAGTGGTCATCAAGTCATCTGGGATGACCATATATTAATATGGACCCCACGGGGGAGGGGGTAGAGAGGTGCTGCTGAGCCCTTCAAACCCTGACCCTGTTTAAAACAAAAATAATTGTTTATTTTGCTTCCCTGTTTAGGACAAGAGACCTACTTTCACAACTCTGATTCATTTCGTTTCACACTAGAAATTATGAAGTGTTTTTTAAACTAGCACCATGGAGTTAGAGTTTTTTGAAAATATATTATTGGTACCACTTACGAGACGGCGCATCACTGACCTTCATATTCTTTCAAAGGCTTCCGGCCGGAAAAGACCCTCAGACACAAAATAGTGAAATTGTTTACCCTGTTTAAGACTCAGGATCCTGAAAATCATACCCTGTTCAGCAGCACATACCCACTTTGGCCAAATAAGGGAGTGCTCCCCGCTCCCTGTATGGGCAGCCTCGTTAATAATGTTTCAATATTATTGCTTTCCATGGTTAGTGTATAATGTTGTAGGCTAAAATGGTTTCAGCCTACATGTATGTTATTTCCTTTGCTGCCTAGCCAGCCCTAATTATTCATCATCTTTGATAATTTGGTTAATGGCTTAGGTGCTAATTAGGGTTAATTAGCGTTAAGACAACAATTATGTTTCTTACACAAGAAATCATCAGACTACTTTTCAGAGAAAATCTTTGATCCTAACCTCTGACAGGTAAACAATCACTATACTAGCTATACCTATCGATAGAGTGCCAACGAGTAAATCATGCGTATTTTGCTTAGGAATAAAATTCCTGTTTTTCCCATTTGACCGTTTCTTGGTCCCTTCCTGTTGCAAGGATTATTTTCTTGAAAAGTTCTGAGATTCAGTATGGTGGCTTTACAAACCTGCTATGTAAAATTGTGAAGTGCCTTGAAAGAATAAAGTCAGCTTTGCAGAGGAAGCGATCGGGAATATTATTAAGTCCAGCTACAAATCTACTGTCGGTTCGGTTTCACATTGTTGATAAATATTTGCACAGTTTAATCATTTACACCTCCTTTCAAATTTCCCGAGTCTTTTTGTTATCGGATTGAAACTTAAAATGATTCGCTGGGCCATCTGAAATGTTTCCAAGGACAAGCGATGAACGGCACGTCGGTATTTAATTTTAGTTCATTATTTTTATACTGAACTCGGCCACGTTTCGAAAAAAATGGCGTTGTTTTCTTTTCCTTTGTCGTTTGCTTTAGGCTTGTAATTCATTTTTGTTCTCATTGTCTTTGTTTGCTGGTTACATTTTTTCCCCAACACCAGATTTTCCAACAGAAGCGACTGCGTTCTTCGTGTCAAGCTTTCCTTATCTCCTCGTGTAATCTGATCCTTTTTAGTGGTCAGAATATTGCTTGCTGCACATAGAACACTTTTGCTGTTTTACAAACTTCTCTTCGTTAAAATTTAACATTATGGCCCCTAAAATTAATAGAATATATCAAGTGCTCATGTCTCTTGACTGCGGTGGCGGGGTTTAACGAAAAAATTTAGGCAAAGAAACACAGGAAGTCGCGACGGCGGGAAGTGTGTGAAATTTTGTTTGTTATTCAACTTGAGCCCGTGCGCCAGGTACTGCCTTTTGATTGGTTCACAACTGACCACTTGGTCTCAGGGGAATCTACATTACATTGGGTTACACTTTTTTCAGCTCGATCGAGAATTTTTCTGCCTATTGCCCAGTCTTGCACGGCTCTATTCTGCTGCCGCCTCGCCATCCGAGCGTCTTCGCTCGGATGGCTCGTCGGCAATAAATCCCAACACAAAAATCTTGAACGTGGATGCTTGCCTCTGAGCTGCACTGTATTTTGGCCTAGGGCTGTCCATTATATGTGCCTGGGTTTCCTGTTTCTTGTTACAGATCTTTCCCTCACTCAAACCACCCTAGTAATGTAGATTTATCTTTGTTTTATAATCTTTCCTCAGAATATCAGACATAGGAGATGATGTGGCATCTGGCGAGTTTCTCAAAGAACCTGATTTTCACACATTTCCACTGGCAAATCTCCATAGTAACAGAGCACTTCGTGTTAGTGTCCATTCACTACCGAGATGTGAAATATTTAACTTTGCAGATGAAATCCTGGCTTCTAAAATAAATCAACTCAATGCTGGGCAGAACTGCAAATGTAATGAGAATGAAGACTCTTTAGAATTCATTGATGACCCAGTGAGGTCTCCCTTAAAAAAGAAATCATGCAGGAAGCAGTGTGATCCTTATCATGATGTTAAGATTTTGAATGGTAACAATTCTATGTTAAACAAGCAAAGTATTCTGGAGTTTTCAAAACCTTCAACAAGCAAGAGTTTGGTTGACCAAGTAGTAGCAATGAAATGTGATGATCAGAATTGCTCAAACACTTCCAAGACCTCCAAGGATTCTCTTAGAAGTGGGTATTTTAAAATTCGTAGTCTTAGTGATGGACCATCTATTAGTCCATTACATGAACAGATGAAAACTCAACAGTATGAGAAAGAAAACCCAAGTACAACAGGCAGTATAGGCTGTAATAAACAGGTAAGGACCAATATCATAAACTCTATTAACAAAAAAGGATTTTTGCTCCCCTAAAAGGTTGTTAATTAGCCTATTGTTGGTGAAGCGTCAGCCAACAGTCTATTGACAGGCTATCAAAAAAAAGCAACATAGCAACAAATAGCTGACTGTCAATCAACAAGTTTTATTTTTTTAGGGGGGGAGGGGTAGTGTTTGTTACTTTTTCTGTGAGATCCTCATCAGAAAGTTGTTGGTGTATGATTTCATAAGTGAATGAAAAGCTGAGACTCAAAAACGGACATTCTCTTTATCAATAAAAGTGATTTTAAACTTACTTTAAGTCACCAACTTATTTAATATACTTGTATTTACACAAGGATCATTTTCTTTGATATCATATTATTTGCCTTATTTGACCAAGGGATCTAAATTAAAGTTTGGCCTTTATCTAAATGATATCAAAATATGATCAAAACTATTGCTTTCTTAGAAATCCAGTTCTGAATGTGAGAAACTTGATGTACAAGTTAATCGGAGTCACTCATCTCCAAAGATCTCAAACCCTGGTGGATACAGACAAGTTCTTCGAAACCAACGTATGGGACCTGGTACTATTCCTATCTTCAACTCAAAAACAGGATTACCTGTCTCTTCAAGCCCGGTCAGTATGCTATAGTAATAGTTTCTTAACCCTATCAAGCCCCACGAGTGTCTTTTGGTAGTAATTGATTTATTACCTCTTATAGTGAAAGTTTGCAAATTATATTGTTGATGTTTGAAGACTTTTGTATTTTTTTTATGTGTAGTTGTAATAAATGTTAATTTGCTTTCCATGTTCGTAGGCTCCCCTCCGTCGCTCTGCCACTGATTTGAACTTTGGAGATGACTGTGGGGAAACAACAAAGTAAGCTCGAAACTATAATATTGTTATCTATTAAACCTTATACCTAGCTGGATAATATTGATCAGGCCTGGTTGTTCACACTGGATAGCTCGATGTCCACCAGTCATAAATCACTATGCAGAAGATAAGTGGCAGGGAAACCATCTTGATAATTAGCAGTATCTATTGGCAAATTCCAAGGATAAAACCTTTTTTCAGTGGATAGCGCTATCCACCTTTTGACAAGCTGGAGAATTGTAACTGGCCAGCGTCATTGGTGTGATGAAATTTTATGGAAAAATCTGTATCAATAAATTGTTAATATGAAAAAGGGTTTGTTGCTGTTTTTTTGGCTTGTGATGCTTGGAGTTTAGGTGAAATGGCTGTAGTAGCACTGGTCTCAAAGCTTTAGTACAACAGATTTACTTAAAGTGTTAATAACAAGCTTGTTGACATCTAATAATGTATAATATAAAAAAAATATATAAAAGCAGGGTTTGAGCCAGGCCGCGCCATTGCGCCAATCCCGCACTGCAATTGGAATTATCCCTTTAAAAAACGGCCAAGGGGACAATTTGTCCCCTTCAAAATTTAGGGAAAAAACTCGAAAGGAAGCACACACGAAGAGATTTATTTCGGTACAGAACTTGCAAGCTGAAACAGAACGTGGAAAGTATATTTCATCGCACCTTTAAAGTTCATTCCAAAGTTACGTTTCAGTCACGCTCTACTGCTATTTTTGTCGGAAATCTAAGACAGGGCTTCTGATTTTTCGCGCGGTCGCGGAACCGCGAAATTCGGTAGAAATTTTATCAAATACATGTCTGTACAACATATTTGAAACTTATTTCAGCTATAGGGGCTATTTACTTGCCGTAAACTTGCAAATTTATCTTGGAAGTTTGCCACTGGAACGAGCAAACAGATTATGTTGCGAAAAACTGGGCACTAGCCATCATGTTAAAGGCTTTGCCATTGGTTCATTTCTGGAGCGTATTGTGGTTGAAAGAGCAAATGATGACCTCTGTTAGAAAAATGTTAAAAAGGCTGGTCTGATCAGCGCAAAACCGATCGATTTCTAGCGAAATTTGCCTTGAAAATAGACAAAATCGGCCGTTTTTTACCGATTGCTTTTCGGTGAAGTTTGCCCCGAAACTCCCGCGAAATCGGCCGATTTTTCCGCGAATTTGTCCCTAAAAATCCTGCGAAATTTGACTTTTTCGTCCGAGACCTATCAGAAGCCCTGCTAAGAAGGAAGGGTGTACAAATTTCTGTCCCCCTAAAAATGAAAATGTCCCCCAAAATTTTAGCCAAGGGGACAAATTGTCCCCCAGTGATCATATCCTAGCTCAAACCCTGTAAAAGTGATTAGTTTTACTTATAATCATTCTGGTTTTTATTTACCTGTGAATTAAGTGGCATTCAAGAAAAGTCAAGTAACATAGACTTGACAGCAAAGCTGAGTCAAAGTGCTCCAGCCTCTACAACACAGCGTCTCTTAGGAAACTTTGAGGTAAATTAAACTAGTTTAATATTAAAATTAAAGCTCAAGAAATCTCATTTCTATCAGAGTGATCTATTCAAAAAATTCACATGTATTTCATTGAAAGTGTCATACTGGGTATTTCAGTTTGATTAATACAGTCTGAGTGTATTAATATGACAGTGATATTAATGTTATTTCTGTCAGAATGAGATTGTGAGTCAGGGCCTGGACAGAGGGGGATCATGTTAATTTCACCTTTACTCAGTGATTTTGTTACAAATATTTATGGTGAGTCTTCAGAGACTCATCTTGTGAAAGATGACGTCCCAGTCCATAACCAATGAGGCCCAGTTTAAAAAAAAATGAGTCTGAAATCCAAAATGCTTGACTCTTTACGTAACCAAACAGTTAATCTGAAGACAGAACTCCAAAACTCTGTATTACGGTATACTGATATTTAACAATTATTCCTCAAGCCTGAATGGGTTCTGTCAGTCAAGTAAGCCCACGAGGCCGAAGGCCGAATGGGCTATTGACTCAGAGGCCATGAGGGCGAGAGGAATAATTAATTTAGTAAAATCCAGCTAGTTGGTCAAGAATATTGAGAATAAAAAAATTTTAGCTAGTTAAAGCTAGACTTCAATCCTTTTTTGCCGCCAGAAAGCGCGTGCTTTTTGCTACTAGTGCGTTATAACATATAGCCTAGTAGTAGCTGAACCAATCAGAACCCAGCATTGATAATAGACCACTAGTTGGATTTTACCGATAAAATATAGTCCTTCTGTTTTAATTAGCACAACAAAGGCTAAAAGGAATATATACATTGTTCAACAACAGCTATAATAATAAATAAATGTATTAACATGCAAAGTGCCATATTCCTTTAGCGCAGTACTGATCATTACTTTAAAAAGAAGATAAGATATCTTCCTTTATCTTTTGTCCTCAATTTAGTGCCCAGAAGGCTGGAAATCGCTTTTAGGCCTTAGAAATTTCAAAATTTTCCGGGTGAGCACTCCCTAGACCCGCAGGGAAATCCACCTTATCCACCTTTTAATTTTGTTGATACAGTCGATTCCTCTATACAAACCTGCTGGCTACTTCAATATTTATTGAAACCACTGGTTATGCTATTGGATGGGGGTATGCCACGCCTTTTGGGTCACCACTTTCCAAATGCCCTGACTTACTTGCCCCTTCTCTAAAACATGTATTGTTTTTTTTTTCAACTAATTCCTTACATGAACAAAAGTGCAACTATCTATAACATGTTTATTGTTTAACAAACGCTTGCAATTGTGTTCTAGGAGTCTGTGTTAAATGGCCGGATGGAAGCAGTAGGGACTGTTGAGGTGATTAATTTATCAAATTTTGAAAAATGTTTCTGTTATTTGTGTTTTCTTTCTAATTAGTAATAGTTGTTTGTACATGAACTGAGATTAAGATGATATTACAGAATACCGAAAAATTATTCTACAGTTCTATACAATTTTGTCCTTGCTGGCAAGATGATTTTACCATTTGTAAGAGCTCTCATTGTGATAATCTCGTACGTGCCACTTCTGTTTTAGGGTTTCACAGCTGAGTTAGGAGCCAGTGGATCTTTCTGCCCTGCTCATGTTACTCTTCCTGTCAAAGCATATTTTTTCAGCCTCTCCGAAGATGATGCCCCATCTCCTTACTTGGTGAGACTTTTTTTCTTGTTTGAGTGAAACATTGTCCATCTGATCTTGTCACAACAATTAATATTTGATTTTTGTAACCTCTATTAATCTGGGTGTTACTGTATTCTGCAGGGCTACATTAGTTTAGATGATTCCTCTATAAGTAGAAAAGGCTATCATGTGCCTACCAAAGGAACCGTGCAACTGGTAAGACTACCAATGGGAATTTAAAATGTACAATTTGCAGCACTGAGAGCAAGGACAGTCCTGCTGAGATTTGAAGGAGGCAGCGTGGCAGAGTTGTCAGCGCTTTAGACTTGAGTATAAGTCTCAGTGATTTAAAGCTTAAACTATTGTGATGTCATTGCCCTGTGATATTTATTCCGATTGCCTAATAATTAATATAATAATAAAGTTTAGTCGATGTGTAATAAATGTGTTTTAATGGTTTTATCATAAAGATTAATTTGTTTAAGAGTAAGACATACAAAGATGGAAGGCGTCAATACAAAATTATTGTATCGAGCCACCTAAAGCCCCTAGAACTTCTCCTTATGGATGCATTCGATAACACAGTCACCTAATAATTACAGAAACTTATCCTTGTTTCGAAGATACCAAGCTTCATACACAATATGGACACAAAACACCAAGTGTTTCCCTTCTATTTGCTTTAGAGGATTAGCTGCACTCTTATACCCTTGATAGGTATTTCAAAGGAATGCAAATCGTTGTCAAATCGTTGTAAATATTCTGTTGCATTTGCAGACTTTGTTCAATCCCAACAAAACTGTGGTCAAGATGTTTGTTGTACTCTATGACTTTAGTGATATGCCTCCAAGGGCGCAGACTTTTTTACGTCAGAAAACGTTTTCAGTTTGGAAACGAGCTTGTCACTCAGATGAGGTAGGCATTGTACTTCTTAAGAATTCTTGATACTATTTTATCAAAGATAAACCAGATATTGGCTGTGCTGTAAGTTAACTGACAGCAATTTATGGAAGAAAAAAGTTTTAGAAGACACGCTTTCAAGTGAAAAGAACAACGTCAGCTAAATTCATTGTCTTTGTAATTAGTGTAGGTGTGAATCAAATCAAAACAAGTGTTATAGCGTTGTTAAAAAAGTTTTATTATCTCGTCAACTCGTGAACTTTGAATTCCTCTTATGAGCTCTTCTCTTTGGGCAAATATTTGCTGATGTCCTCGTTTACATTACCTTGCTAGCAGAGTGGCTTCCATCTTTCCTAGATAAGTCGGGAAAGAGGAAGTTCCTCTTCCAGACTTATCTAGGAAGATCGAAGGAGACTCTGTTCGCAGGGTACATTTACATTTTTTCTCATTACCGTGTTACTGGTACTTAACCCATCGCCATGACCGTACATACAATTTGAACTCAAAAGTTGTAATGGCTGGTTAACTTGAGCAATCTGTGCAATTTTCAGCTCTCTTTGAGCGATATGGGCAGTCAAAATTGCAAAACGTCTTGGTGGCAATAAAGTTAATATGCATTCTTTCTGAAATAGTTTTTGGTGATAACACATCACTGTACATTTTTTTAGGGTCAAATGTCTCTTCATTATTTGATTCATTTAAGGTGAGCTTAAGTATATATATTTATAAATAGTGGATTTATTTGTTTGTATTTACAGATTTAGCTTGATACAAAATAACAATAGGATTTTATTAGCCCCCAATCAGCTAGATGGCTGCCTCTGGAAATGAAGTTGATTGATGATCTATTGCCCATGCAGCTCATTTTCAATCAAATATACCATCGAATCGATGGTATGTTGCTCGCATACAGCTATTTCGAGAAAGGTTGTCGGAAAAAGTGCACGCGGCAAACCCGAAAAGTATTGTGGGTGGTTGTGAGTTCATTGTTCTTCAAAGAAATTTGAAAGAATGGCGCTAGAGTCCATGGACATGTGTTTGCGAGTGTTAAAGGAAAGCAACAAAAGGAGATTCGACTGTACAGTGTCAGGAACAGTGTAGTGATCATATCCCATATTACATTCCGGGGTTGTCGTGGCAAATTTTTTTCCAACAACCTTTCTCAAAATAGCGGTATTCCAAATATGGTAAGCGCCTGTTGGTTTAACCTGAGATCAGGCTCTATTTTCGTTTCGCTTTGTAAATAACAGACCGGCGGGCATGGCGAAACGTAGCGGTAGCCCTTAGAGAGAATGTATGAGAACCGCTCAAATTGGGCCTGATCTCAGGTTACTGTTGATTACGAAGAATTAGCCGGGGGGATTGGATGAAAAATATACAGAATTAACTTATACGTTCAAGTACGTAATGAACTTATAGAACAGACCCTGCAACTCATGAATTGTACGTTTTGAATTATATTTCAGATTTATTAGTTCCAAATCTGGCAGACTCTATCTCCACACAGATATCAAAGTGATATTTGCACGCCAGCCCCCAGATCTCCCTAGTGGAGTTACATTTTCCACTGTCACTGACGGTCCTACAGAACCTCGATATACACTTTGACAAACCAAATTAGTAGGACAGTTAATTAAATTTATGATAATTTATCAAAATTTTGACAATTGAATCAGTATATGGCCGTAACAATAATACAGCAATTAATGATATAAAGCTGCAATCTTCTCCAAAATATTATTTATTCAAATCTAGTGCTTATATAGCTAGGGTTTTTTAAAATTTATTTATGTTTTTTTGTTGAAAAAAAAAGACCTATAATTGAAATTTCTTTGACAAGTTTTGGTAAACAGTGGAAGTTCGTAGGGGCACCCAACGAGAATATAGTTCGAAACCACTTAAACATAGCATTGTTAAAGGTATTTTAGTATTTATTCGGTAGATTTAGGCATACTTTTATCCCCTAAAAATTTTTCATCTGTTCGGATTTCCTAGCTTTAAGTCTAGTGGTCCGAAAAATATAGGGATCAAAACTTACTTTTTCGAAAAGTTATACCAGAAAAATGGCTCCCGAAAATTCTAGGTGACCTTTTTATGGTAAAAATCGGTTAGAAATGGGCAATTACACCATTTTTGAGATGTTCGAAAAGTCCTAGGAGAGGTAGGCAGGCAAGAAATTTTACAACAAATGTTCAGAAAATTCTAGATTTCAAATCGTCTTCCGAACAGATATTTTCCGAAAATTGACGTTGGGTGCCCCATAAACAGTGGAAGTTCACAAGTTGACGACCACTGTGTTAAGATAGCAAAGAACATTTGTTGCCTCCCTTTTTTACTTCACAAATTGATAATATTTATTTATGGTAATGTTATTTCTAGTTAACGGCAGCTTCTTGATTTTATGAAATTTGCGATCCCAACTCCAAGGAATTCATTACTTCACAAACGAAATCAGGTAAAAATTTTAGCTTCCCAATTTAAACCTCGCGAGAGTTAAATAGCCTGCGTTGCAGCTGGCCCACGCACTCGGCTATAAACCATTTGTATAGTCCGCTCTATACAGAAGGTTTAGGTTTAGAGTGTCTGCGACGCAGGCTAGAAATTAATAGGCTTTAAGAAAAACACTTTTGTACATAGAAAAGAAATGTCAGCACTTAAGCGCATGTAAAAGTAATATTTATTTATGTCAGGGTGAAAATTGAAAGATGCTATAAGCAACAATTAAGGTTAGTATGCATGATTATAGTGAGTAGTAAATCAGCAGCGTTAAGTTTTTTCTCCAGGAATTTCCTGTAAGAAATAATGATTGCAATTGCCCCCCTCCAACTTGAAAACAAGCAATTTCAGTAGGAACGGTTTAGTGTTCTAGTAGAATTCTAGTAGTACTTAAGTGTAGCCTTGCCCACCCCCCGACGGAGAAAAAACGTGAGGGAGGAGGTGGGCACCCCTCCACCCGCCTCAAAAGAAATCGAAGTACTAACCTGTACCAAGTCCGCCTCTGGACAATTGGTATAATCACGTCCTTCGTAAAAGAATTCGTAAAATCAAATTTTCTTTTCAATCAAATGATTAATATTTTTGTTGGTGTTACTTTTTTTATATGAGAGTTTTAATATAAAAGCTAAGAAAATGCAAATTCAACATATACCTGGCAGGGCAAGATATAAAAGTGTGCGCAAAGGGTGGAATACTAAGAAGGCAAGATAAGAAGGTCGTATCCTAAATGTTGCGTGTAACATTAAAATTCCAAACAAACGTAAACTTGTGTTTTCCTTGCAGCTCGTAGATACTTGCTGACTGGCTTCTGCCTATTTTGCTTGGTTTTCACTAGTGTCCCAGGCATAACATGGCACATTAACGCACGAGTCTTGCGTCTTAAGACTATTTTATCCTTGTGCTTATTATTGTGCACTAAATATTCTTAGCTTTTGCTTACGTCCATAGCAAAAACAATATACCGTTTTCTATCAAATGTTGTACTATGTAACGCAACAAGGTACACCGTAGTCATATTAGACCTGGACATTAGTTTGTCTCTGCACTCTGTAAACAAAACGCATGTTGGGGCAAGGGCCAAAAAATATTCCTGTTTTTCCTGTCCCCGATGTTCTTGGAACATCTGTTTTGGAATCGTCAGTAACGAGAGGTTTGTAGTGGATCTGTTACGCCTCGCCGCGAAACCATAATTTCCCAATTCCTATCTTGTAGTACACTTTATCGCTTTGAAAATATATAACACTGACCGGCTGACAGGTACGAACTGGGGAGCAAGTGTGACGCAGTGTGTAGAAAGCACTTGACTCACCTCATGTGGCCTGGGCTCAAATCCCTGCGTCGACGCTATATGTGGGTTGAGTATGTTGGAGGTTCTCTCCCTTGCTCCGAGAGGTTTTTCTCTGGGTCTTGGTATACGCGCAGAAATTCCGGTCCGTCTGGTACCCAAGTAGAGAAGGAATTAAAGGTGGCGGCAATTTGGGCCCCTCTGTTCTCTTTACCGACGTTAATAAATACTTTACAGCAGAATTGTCACAATGATCAGCTTGTGGTAACGCCAAACGATTTGTTCGGCCTCTATTGCTGTGATTATCCACTGAACGAACCGTCGTCATTTTTGTCTGGTTTGTTCTTAGTACCAGAATCTTCCAAGCGAGGGCAGTTCACACGGTGCCAGGACCTTCCTACTTCTCAGCTAGGAAGCTCCTAGAACCTAACATGTGGCTTTAGGATGATCCGCCCTCTATAGGATCTTCCTCTCTCCATGTAAACAGCTCCTTGGTCGGGAACCCAAGGGAAGGGAATCGTCACGGCGACGGGTTGCGGTTTCCCTGTGTCGTTTTTGACCCTCAGCCGACCCAGAAAACATCTGCACGGTTATGTGTGTGTGTGTGTGTGTGTGGGGGGGGGGTTATCAGTAAACACGGGAAGGGTGTCGGCGTCTATCTTTTTTGTCTTTTTTGTCTTTTTAGTAAAAAGATAGACCCCGATCCCGACCCCGCGTTTTACTGACACCCACCCGCTTGCGATATCAGTCGTATATATGGGACGGTTTGATCTTTATATGTACCCGATTTGTTTAGGGTGAGATCAACTTGTGTAATGTGAGACTGTACTATACAATATCTTTATCAACGAACCATTAGCGCAGTGTGCAGTTTTATTAAAGTATTGATTTATGTATGCAGTCGAACCTCATGTATTCATGTGCGACCACCTCTCGTAAATGACCACGTTCCACAAACGACCGCCTATCCAAAACACCAAAACTTTCCCAATCACAGCCTTACAGTTGGAACCTCTAGTAAAACACCACCTCCTGTAAGAGACCGCGACCACGTTTTGGGCCTGACGGTTAATGATATCCCATTGATTTTAACCTCCTGTAAGCAACCACTTAACGCATTCTATGATCTCTATGTTCGCTGTGTGCATTATGCTACTAAGAATATACGAAGAACTTTAGTGACAACATAGAACTATGCATGGCTTAACTTAGAGAATCGCATGCAATAAATATCTTCCATAAAGTAGATGTGTCTGGACCTCTTCTCGGATGAGACCCCCTGTGGTTGGATTCTTGTAAGCGACCACCTCCCGTAGGCGACCATATAGTCTTGCATTTTGGGTGATCGCTTACGGGAGGTTCGACTGTAATGAGAAAATAAAGCGACAGAAATGAGTCAAAATCATAAAAGGAAAATCCTCCTTTAATACATAATTATATCAATACTTTATATTGAAAAAGAGATTGATATGGAAAATAAATTACACTCCACAATATCCGCACCTCAACACCTGCACACTTTGAAACAAATAGTTAAGTTAAAATTTGGTTGCCGGTCTACAATCCACTCAGCAAAATGTTCTACAATATTTGTATATGTTAATTGACATAACCATCACACCGATTAAAAACCTGTATTTTTGAGGGAAGAAATTGAAGAACCGAGCTTTAATATAGACGACATTAGAAGACACTTTGTGGAAGCGAAAACCTGGTCATAATAAAAACCTCATACAAACACTGTATTCTTAACCAACCTCCCTTAAGCACACATTTTTCTCTGTTCTGGCGCGCGTGGGGGTGTGTTTACAGGAAGCAAGGCTTAATCCATAATTTGCAGCGGTTGTGAGCTTGGCCATGTATGAACGTCATTAGTGGGCCAAACACCAGAGGTGTTATTACAAATATTTCTCAGTACTGCTTCCGTAGTAGCCTCATCCAGCGTATTTAGATCAGATAATGTTTCATCATTTTCATTGCTTAGATCCGCAAAAGTCAAGTTATTTTCCAGAATGGTCATTTCATGATCCTCGCCAGCCCTGTTCGGGTGGTTTGTTCGGACCTGTGACACCGCCCAGTTCGGCGGGGCAGCGGTCATGTTTGAATGTTCCGCGTTGAGCATGGGTGTTAAGTTTCTCCGCGCGGAGAAAGCGCTATCAGGCGGTGGTCTTGAGCCATTATTATTAACATCACCATGGAGAACTCTGTTGCGTAGCTCCTTTAAACCATTCAAGTGTTGATTTGACGAGTCCATGGGCGATGGTGTCAAGTGCTGGGGACGGGTGGTAGTCTGCGGTGTCAATGGATGAAACCGCTGTTCGGCCAGCGCATGCTGTGTCAACGGAGGAACAGACTGACTTCGCTGGTACGATGGCGGAGGCATTTGACCTGTAGAACTTATGGCCTGGTTACAGATCGACTCCAATTCTGGTGAATAATCCATTGTTTGATGTTGAATCATAGACGCTTGCGGCACTTGTCCATTATCTGAACCACTGCTGAATCTACACGATTTGGGCAACAGACCAGGTGCCCTAAAAATCATACCAACAAAATGCAAATTAATATTACAAATGCCTCAGCTCGGATATTATGTGGTATCAGAAATTATTTAGACTGCCAGCATTCTCTTATTTCCTTTCGAGTTACACTAGATCGAAAGCGCGCGTGAGGGGCAAGCGGCAAAGTCGCGAGGAACGAGGGTTGAAGCCCCAATCTCTCCAAAAATTTGCATTATTTAACTTCTTTCCTCGCCGTGCTTGGCTCTGAGGAAAGAAAGACGACCATTCGTGGTCTAGAAATTCTTCATACCCTTCTTGTTTCCGCCATGAAAAAATTAACAAACCCTCTTTGAACTGGTACCGCTTCGGGAGGTCAAACCTAAAAAGGTCGCCATTAGAGTTACGAGGCACCTTTCTAGCCGAAAACAATCAAACAAAACAGAAACTATTGTTTAACATTGCAAAAATTTGGCGTTTGCCAAATTTTCAGATCAGAAACGCCGCCAAATTTATAGTTTAACTCGTCCCTCTAGGAACTATACAACGTGTCACTGCTACATCTAGCTTGAGAAAACAGCCGAACTTTCTTACCGCCACCTCTGGTTTCCCTGCAAAATGACGTCTGAGGGATGTGCGCAGAAATTCCATACCGATTACGTGTCACTTCCCGGATCGCGGCAGAACCTCTGATTGATAATGCCGCGAGGGAAATTTGCTTCAACCCCCAGAACTGGGCAGTGACAGGTCATCAATATGGAGTTTTTGCGCTCGTTCTTCAGACGTCCTTTCGCGGGGAAACCAGTGGTGAGTCGCGAAATGTCCCCGCTTACTCAGGCTATGCCACACCTTTTATCGCTTTTGTAAATGACTTACCCTTGCTTAGACTGCTGTTGCTGCTGCTGCTGCTGTGTCATATGTACATCACTTCCAGAGGAAACAACGCTACTCATACTGACCCCCTGAGAGTACCCAGTGGAAGCCATAGTCTCCACATGTGAAATCGCTGTCGGGAGCATAAATTCCTGGCTCCTTTGTACAACATTTGGCGAGACAGGATTCAACTGTCGCCCCACCCCGGGCGAAGCCATTGTTGGCGACGTCACGTACTGTTGTGGAGCTATGCGCTGTGGCGTTCTGGGAGAAGGCAGAGGGTACGCAAACGAACCAGGTCTGCGGTTTGAAGTTGGTGTAGAAGGAGGGTTCTGGCTAATCAGTCTTGGTTGTTTACTGGGTGACATGGGCATATCATTGACTCCCATCTGTGCTGCTCCTTGCTGCGGCCAGTCACTATTAATAAGCTGGCTAGGATGGGTTGCAGTGGGTCGCAACGTCGGAGGGCTTGTCTCTCCTCTATTTACCCTCTGTTCTTGTGATCCACTAGTGATTGGTGTGAACAAAAACCGGGTGGGCTCTGCTGAGTTTGGTGTGTGTCTAGGTGTGGCGTTAGCCGAACTGGGAGTAACAGGACGATTCTGTGGTGTCCCTGGAGTGTTGAACTTTGGTGATGACTGGAATGGTGAAGGTGTCTGTGGCATTGCTTGCTGTATAGGAGTTGTCGGGGACATCATCGATGGAGTAACAGGTCTTATTTTGGAAGGAAATCCACTGGGTGTAGTGGTAGGGTTCCCTGACTGTGGTTGTTGTTGTTGATAAAACTGTCCTATCTGAGAAGGGGGACTCTGGAGAGATGCTTGTATTGGCTTTGGTTGGATATGTAATGGCTGTTTATGGGGTGTCTTCTGTGGACTTGAGACGCTTACCTAAAAATGCAAACAACAAATTACACTGTAAACCTATAATAAGTTATTCAAGGACTAATTTATTCAAATAATTATAATTTCTTGAAAAGAATATTTGGGGAATGGAATCGTCTCTCTTGCCAGTTAGTATGCAAGAACCTCGGTTTAACATCTATAAAAAATCAATTGGGCAAATAAGATATTAGAGGAGCGACTTCTGTGGCAGATTTTAAGTCGAAGATTTCTAGATTTTAGCTCACTTTTGAATTTCTGTATATAGTTCGATTTTTTTGTATATATCTTAAGCTTATAGGTAGTTTAGGGTTTCCTCCTAGAATGGTGCTACCACACTTTTTGAGGTTCTTTCCCTTTTCAACGCTGTTCTTTGTACTAATTTGTAATTTATGTTGTTGAAATAAAGTATTAAAGTGTAAGTAGTCACCTTTATCCTGTGACAGCCGCCACCTTGTGGCCATCTCAATGAGAGTTCTCTTATTGTTGTCACAATATTAAGTGACCGTCAAGTTCTTGGATTTATTTTACAAATACGATAATTAAGGAAAATTCAGTGTAACATAGAAGGCGACGACTAATTATTGTGGCACAGTAATGCCGTTCCTCTTCCGTGTTTTTTTTTTCTTTCAACAAAACAAAGTGCAACTTCTGCTTAAGACTATGCTACAGTGAAACCCCGCCTTACAGCTACCTTGTTATTACGACCACCTTTTTTTCTGTCCCCCGGAAAAACGGCCATACATTTTCTTGTAAAAAACCCTAATGTTAATATGGTGACCTGTTAATACAGCCAAACTTTTTTTGGTCCATTGGTGAGCGTATTGATGGGATTCCACTCAAATTTATGACAAACCTCCATTGAGCTGCCAACCTCCATTAAGCGGCCACTTGCCAGAACCCTGAGGGTGGCCAACCTACTGGCAGTTCAACTGTATTTATTTCTACTTACCAAAGCCTTGTGAGCCAGTAACTGTGGTGTTGTGTTACAAAGAGCTGCTCCCTGCTGGATTAAGGAATTGGAAGGAATTTGTTGAATTTGCTTCTGCTGTTGTCTTTGCGGCATCTTCTTAGGCATCTGCTGTGACTGTCGCCGTTTTTGTGACAGTAACATTGGATCATCACTTTGCTTCAAGGGTGTCAATAGAGACACTAATGAATGACTTATCTGAGGTGTGCTTAGATCATTGCTGGACATTACCACAAATGCTGCCATGGATTTGCTGGATACGTAACTCCCGCCAACAAGAAACCTGGCCAGTTCAATCAACGTGCTGAATACCCTACCAAGGAGTTTATTGGCCCACTCACACACAAGCATACAAGCTGCTGAGAGGGTTTGGTCTTCTTCTATTTTGTCTCCTCCATTTGGACTGTTTGCTGAATTATTTGAACTCTGAAAGGTGATTCAAATTCTGGTTAAAGAGAATTATTGTGACAAAATTGCTTGAAACCAGAATTGTTTCATTAATGGTTAAGACATTTTGATATCTTAAATGAGAGGCATAATATTGGACCTTAGCAAACTTAACTGAAATGATTTTGTAAGTCTGCAGACAAAATCCTTGCGTGACACCATTCAAATAAAAACTCTTAGGAAGGCCTTACACATTATAACTAGGATAACCAGAGGTCAGGGAGTACATGTGAGATAGATCGAAGGTCAAAAAACTCTTGCTGTAATGCTATGCTCCGGATAAGTTTCACCCCATTTTTTGCCTTTTCCCCTTACTACGGAGCCTTGTCCGAGGCAACACATGATAGGATATCAGATGACATGAGTGACAATTGAGCATGCGTGATGAGATTGAGTTTTTGGCACCCATTCATTCTTAGTGGAAGTCCAAATGAATGCTGGCTACATACTGTACATGCTGTGTTGCTCACACATAATAGCAACCCGGAGATAAGGATTGCGGGCTTCTCTGGTCGCCTGCAATAACTTAACATTGTGTTTCAAGGCTGTAAAGCTAAATCCTACATTAAAAACAACAATAACAAAGTAACACAAAATATATTTCTCACCTTTTCTTTTTCACTTGCTGATGGCACTTGTAGAGATGGCAGGGTAGGTGGTTTTACGTTCTTTTTTCTTTGGATTCCACTATAACAGTATTTGGAATTCCCTCGTGTCCCTAGTCGTCTTGCCTTCACTCTTGGAAACACACACTTGATAATCTTCCCAAAGTCAGGTGCACTTAATGTCCGAGCAGCATTCATGCTCTCACAGTGAGCTCTGTTTGAAAAAATTGATTGAAACATCTCAATCAGTCAAAAAATGATGAAACAAAATGAATGGCCACAGGACAGTTAAATCTGGTTTCCCTAATCATCTGGATCCTTTTGTATGCCTTAGGCTTTCTTCACTTTATAGCAGATAGCTTTTGGGCTATACCGGATACGGCTTAATGTGTTCACACATAAAAACAGTGATTTCTGTGTAAATTCTGAGATGAAGCATGTGGGACAATTCGGACGACTGTAAAACTGTGCGTAGACTGATGTGGGGTGGTTTATTTACCTACTAGAAGTTCAGATTTGATTCTGATCCTTGGCTGCATGACCTCCAACCTTCTTGTACTTGAGCTTTTTCACTTTCTATATAAAATTCTAGTTCTTTATGGAGAACTGATACCATTGTCCAGGGTTGTCACTAAGATTTCAAGTTGCCGGGTAAATACAACAAGTAGGTGGGAATCAATTTTTCTTCTATTTTCCTTTGAAAGTAGCCGGGGGCCATGTTTATAGTAGCTGGGGGAATCCCCAGCCCCTGCCTCTTAATGACAGCCATGATTGTCTTTTCCAACTTAAATAAGCCCCCCCCCCCCCCCCCACGGGGGGTTTAAGAAGGTTTTTGGCAACTAAAACACTTTTTAATTTTAATGTAAGATTATAGTCTGGGGAAAATGGAATTGTTTTTCTCACCCCCCAAATAGGCTCAATACCTTTTAAAAAGAAAAAATAATCCAATCTGGGGGAATCCCCAGCCCCTGCCTCTTAATGACAGCCATGATTGTCTTCTCCAACTTAAATAAGCCCCCCCCCCCCCAGGGGGCTTAATAGAGGATTTATGGCAATTAATGACTTACTTATATTCATCATAGACTTCATGCTTGGGCAAAGTGGAATTGTTGTCACACTCCTCCAAATGACATCGAATCCTTTAAAAAGCACAAATAATCAGCACTACTGTTAAATTAACTACTAAAACATGATTCTTAAGATTAAAGATAAGCAAAAAAAGTTTAAACACGATTTTTCAATTTCGCTATGACATTATCAAATGACAAGATGAAATCTAAAAACTGACCAAATATATACTGTTCAAAGTGACAAAACATCTTTGCACGTGTAAATGAAAATATGCTAAACAGTTTTGATTGGATGGAATCTGATTGTGTGTTTAAACATGATTCAATTTGTTAAACCCTTATCAAGAGGCAACTGCAGGGAGACCAAGATGCTAATTAACAAGGAAACTCCTCTGAATAAGGACCAATGGACTCTATAATACCGGCTACTGAGTTTGGACAAGAAACAGTCCTATGTATATCTTATGAACCTGTTTGAGGTTGTATGTATATATATTCCACAGGGAATGCTAGGTTTGTTCTGCAGAGGGAATTTGTCGGATATTCAACTATGACTTTGTAGTCTGTCTATTTGAACAAATATTTGAGGAAATTGATCAATAATAAAACTTCAACAGGGTAAATGTATCACCACCATCACCACAAAAAAATCTCACCAGTGAAATGCTTGTGTTTGCTCTGCTCTTGTAGTAGAGATGGGAAGACTTTGATTTCTATTAAAGTAAGACATTAACAACTTTTAAATCCTTTAAAAGTTACAACAGATTGAAAATTTACAGACTAAAGACATATTTATTCAATATTTTTTACCAAACAACCAAATTACAAATATACGATTATCAGTATACGATAATTAATTCATACGTTAATGTTTTCCAAGCATTACAATATCAAAAAAACCTTCCTGCTTCCATGAAGTAATGAACCCACTATTTTTTCATCTTCCCTGATCAGGACCATCCTTGCAAAATATCTCACTATCTTGTTTTTGGTATTTCTTTACCTAAGTGTGAAAAGTTCTCTGCACTCAAGACTTCAGGCTGATCATTTCACCAGTATTGCCCTGCCCCTGGTTAACAAATTAGATATAATTATTAAAGACTTACTGATCAAAGTCATCTTTGGATTCAGAGGCTGTCTCACCAGGAAGTCGAAGATAGAGCAACAATTTTTCAGTGTCTGACAGCTGTTGTACCTCTTCCTTTAAAATAATTTAATAATATGTAAAATTATTAGTGTGCGGTCTGGTCATTTCTGATACTGCCTGTCAACCTGGTATTTTAAAGGAAAAGAATGTCCCAGGTCCCCTTAAAACCAGGATGAAAAAGTTGCCTTTGGTTTGGAATTAAATTTTGTGATACTCAATTTGTAATTCACAGCATATAATGAAAGAGAGTTTGTTATGTCACTGCCAATACAGCCAATGCAAAAGTGAATGGAAGTCACTTTCACTACTTAGAAAATGGATTATTGCAGCCACAATTCTTTCCTCTTTTTCTGCCGATGACGGTGCTTTCTGAGAAGATTTTCACCAGTCATTCAATGATGGCGCCATGTCACTTGCTGCTTCCACCCCTGGAAGGCCTGTCACAAAACTTGTCAACAAAGAATAAAGGCATTACATTTACCAGAATTTTTTGGATCCTCTCTTGTATCTCCTTGCTGAAAAAAGAAAAGTTTGAAGGTTGAATATGCTTCATCTTTAGCTAGAAAAATTGCCAAAACCTTCATCCACATATGCAAGATTCATGAATCTAAAATATTTTTGCAGACAAAGCAGTGGCTGGTGCTTGTTTTGCTATAAAACAGTCTGTTTGACTATTGAAGTCAAACGTGCATGCAAACACGGTTTAAGTTTATGTTGTACGCACTTTGTTTAAATTTAAAATGTTACATGAACTTTTATTTGCACAAGACAGCCTATTTATAACGTTGCATAGCAAGTGTTGAGTTCTCAGTTCTTAGACTAATTCAAGTTGACTAGTATGCATTTGCTAAACCATTTATTGATAACCAGAAGTTGCTAACCAGACGTATAAACGGTGAATTGTTTTGGCTAAATATGAAGACAGTCATAGTTTAGTGCTGTTTTTATGCTACCTCCTCTTCAGTTTCTACATTATAACTTGCCCAAGTGCCTACGGACATGTTTAATTTAATTTTAGATCATATTGTATGTGTGATTAAAATAGGATTAATTTCTACCATCATAATTACCGTCTTTGGTCAACAGAACAGTGCTTATGTTCACACAAAATTTGGAGATGTTCAATTATATATTCTTAACCTTGTAATCCATAAAGAGTTTAATTGTGTTTACAAAATAGTATGACAATGTAAAGAGGTATTCATCAGTATTTGTTGTTGATGTTGTTGTTGTTTTTTTTTTGAAAAAAAAAACTAGTTCTGTTAAAAAATTCATTTGCACTTTGAACTGAGACAGACAAGAGCTGTCTACAACATTCACCATTTTATACAGCAAAACACATTTTGTTCAGACAGGTGATAAATTAAATATCAAATAAAAACTGTAATAATGGCCACCTGGCCTGGATGACTGTTTAAGTCATCTGATAAATAGAAATATTTATGGCTGCAGCATTTTGTTTCTTAAAATCCCACTTAAAAATTACTTTAACCAATTAGATAACAAAACATTATTTAAATCACAAATTTTTAGCAAAAAAACAAACTTTAGGATTTTAATTACCCAACAGAATTTAGTTTCTACACATACAAAAATTTCACCATCAAGACAGCAATGTTAGCTAGTCAGTCATTTTGAAGGTAACCAATCTGATGGAAATTCACAGTAAGCTGGTAATAGTGTAATTTAAAATAACCCCACCCCTGAATATATGCAGAAAAAATAATGGGTATTTTTGGAGCGCACCAAGTCTCTGCTGAGTAGTCAAAATAACCTGGCGTCTTCATCAAAGCATGAAAAAAAATTCTTGTTCACAATATATTCACTTGAAAAATCTTAATGAGGACATTTAGCACAATCTTGAAATGAATTTATCATCTTTGACTTATTCACCTGTGTAATTTAAAGCAAGTCTAACTCTTCGGAAAACTTTTCATTCAAGTTATAAATAAGTAGAGCCCACCTTTGTAAATCCCTTTGCACTCACCAGTAACTGAATTTAAAAAAAAAAAACACTCGAGGCGCAAGTTAAATTGCGCAAAAAAATCCGCAAAAAAAAATGCACCGTTTTACCCGAGTCATTTAAAACGCAATACAGGGCAAGTAAATATACAAGGCAAATATTTTAATATGAAAACAATAAAAACCCCGTTCCCACGACCCAAATGGATGATCAAACAGTGGAACACATGGTCGAACAAAGCCCCTAGACATGCTGCATTTCACAGCGTAAGGCCTTCGTGTCACGTTCAAAAAGAACTTTCCCCTCGTCCATTTCCAACACGAAATAAACAGACGTTGTCAGTTTCAAATCTTTCAAAACTGCCCAAAGTGAAAGCACGATTATATTTCTGGGCTAAAAATATTATGTTTTTAATCTTTCGTGAATATCATTTAGATTTTGCAATTCCGTACGCTCATAAATGGAAGGCTTTTGTTTAAAGCGACAAAAAGCTGTATTAAAAAACGAGACGAGCGTCCTTTAATTTTTCGCGCGAAACTTCCCGCGAAACTCATTTACGAACAGGGGAAATAACAATAAGACGTCAATATCTTTCCAAAACTGGTGAAAAAACGGTTTTAGAAAGAAACTTATTTTCAAAATTGCACGTGAATGCAATTTTCTGCTTTTCCTTTTTTCGTTGCAAACTTTTTCGACTGACCTCGTCGAAATCCCGCCCAGACAAGGAGGTGAAAAGATCTAAAGAAATAATTGCTTGCATGAAAAGGTATTATAACGTATATTTGATCAGAAGCACCTGACTTTTGAAGTTGTCTGATAATCACTATCTACACGTGTTTCATTGAATTGGATGGCATGTGAAATGTACGGCGATGCCGACCCCTTTGACAGCGTGTTTGCTATAGATTTGACTCCATCGCCGCACATCTCACGAAAACATTTTTAAATATTACGGCAACTTGTTTGCAAGTGTTTCTTTATTTCAGCATTGCCATGGCAAAAGTACGATGGAGTTTCACGGGTTAAGAACACTGAAATTACTTCTACGTCATTGGAACTGAGCTCACTAGGGTTTCGCTAAACTAATTTTAGACCCGCTACGGATGTGTGAAAAGGAAGTTGCTCGACCACCATGTGAGCTCACGAGTTAAAAACGCGCAAAGAAGATTTTTCGGTGTTTTATCTGCATTCAGAACTAACGCGATTACAAACTTTGACACGCGAGGTCGGCGATCAACGGCACCGAACGTTTTACCCGCAGATGACAAAATAGTCGTAAGAAATGAGGTTTAACCGAACATTACCACGCTTCATTGAGCTAATGGCAAACAAACTAAAATCATGCAGCGAAAAATAAAGAAGAAAAGTGATTTGCATCCATTCATTCAACGAGGGGGCACTTTGAACGAAAAAGATTGATAAATACTAAATAAACTTCACTGATCGTAAGTTTGATAGAGTTTTTCTCTTTTGATGTAACGTATTTAGCAAGGAATGAATTTCTCAAATAAACGCCTTCTGTGTTTACAAAACAAAAAACATTAAAGGTTGTATATGTCAAACGATGGAGCTGTCCATTTTATTTCGCTGCTAATTACAACAACCTTGTAAACAAGACGAGAATATGCCCGTAAACGTCAGCCACATCTCGGTTTAGTTTGCTCATCTTGGAGATCGGTCTAGCTAAAGCAATTTCTCTGAAATTCCTCGATCGTGGAAAACCGAATGAATGAAATTTTTTTTTCATAAGCCACGTGCAGAGCGGAAAAAACAACTGAACGACTTCCCACATAAGCGAATCACATCTGCCCTTAACAGCAACACACATGGCTTCGATCCACCAATTCCTCGACAAAAACAAACCCCAATAAATGACTTCAATCGGTAAATTTAGTTTACGGCCAGCAATTAGCAGTCAAAATATGCGCAAGTCAAGGAGTCGAAATCCATTGGGATTATGACCTGCCTATATCGACAACGCGAAGAACGCCGTATAAAATTCACAATAAATTTTAAAACGCTCAGTTTTAACCTTCATGTAAAAAAGAACACCAAGTTCCTAGCGTGATCTACAAATTTAATGCAACCACCTGGGCACAGACGATCTTTGCGCAGTTTTCCCAGAATATGGACCAAATATTTAATCGCAATGTGATAATAAATCAATTGTGATTGCGTACCTTACAAACGATTGAAGAGCTTGCTCAAGGCCAACGTTTGCGCTATCAGCTTCCTCCGACTCGCAATCCATAGGGCTCGGAGAGGCAGCTGTCTTCAAAGACACTGGGATAGCTGGGGATTGAAGAAGCTCAGGATGTCCACAGGTCATGTCAACAGTCGAAGAGGTACTCACGACCAATTCAGTGCCTAAAGGATTCGATCGTTCCATAATGACTTCGCTTGAGCCCTGCATGGCTGAAACTGGAAAATCTCAGCTTCTTTTGTTGTGCCAAGTTGCAGAGCTTGCCCTGATCCTGTCGCGATCACACTAATGCCCACTTTGTCGTCATAACTCCTGTTATCAAGCAGGCCAGCACATGGGTCACGAGCCATCACGCATGCGTACTTACAAGACGCAAATGAACGTTGACAAAACAAGGTGTTAGCAGCCAATAGGATACGCACTGGTTGTTAGCATTCTGCTCAATTAAAAAGCGCTTTGTCATTGAAATTAGACGTTATAGAAAACTTCGAAATTAGCTTTGGATAAATGTACGCTAAGAGAGAAGATATCAAGCGTAATTTATTACAGAAGCGCTGCAAACTCGAGAAGAAAATGGTTCTCGGAGCTGACGGATAATTCTTAAAGAAAGGTAAGTCTCACAAGAGTTTTTAGTGCAACCAACACGAAGCGAGGATCATGATTGACAGCACAAATGATTGACTTAAAAGATTAAAAGTCGCAACAAGGGCACACGACGCGACCAAAGGAGAGCACTGACCTATCGCAGAAGGACCCCGCCCAAAAGTTCTCAGGGGAGTTCTTTTCAGCTAACTCTAATTGCGCCAAGGTCATGCAAACTTTTGAAAATGGAGCAAACAATAAAATTTACACATTTTGCTCAAAAGTTTTGCGACATAAACAGCAAAATTGAGCGCTACAGAACAGAGAAGAGTTAGTTACCCCGCATGGTTTCATTCACTAATATCAGAAACTCATAAGGGGTTGTTCAACCCCTTACGAGTTTCTGCTAATATTCAACCGTGTTCAAAGTAGTGCATGTTGCACGACTCAAACGTTTGAAATGGTGGCAAAATGTAATGGGCATGACCTGTACGCTGTCACATACTCCACTAACTTTTAGAACTTGAACTACTCTCCATTGCTGTTGGGATAAACTTGCAAAGTCACTGAATCTTATGTTTGAAATTGTTACAAGTAATATACCCGCTCCCGTAGCCAATTATGGAGACAGATTGTATAGTTCTAACTTTAGCCTGTGGACAAGATCCTTTGGTGTGAGGACTCAAATCAAACCTCTTTCGCGTGGTTACTACCAGTTTTGCAGTATTTGCTCAAATGAAAATCCGATATGAAAGAGGCTAAAATCCAAAATCAGCTAAGTCTGGCTGGACTGAATAGTTAGCTTGGGGCGGTGTCGCTGTCCGACCGTGACCACCGGGCTATTCAAACTGAAGTGTGCTGGGACAAAAACTGGCCGGCCTCTCCCAAGGGATGTTCTAGCGGCATACCGCCCATTAAGTACGTGCAACCCATAGACAATCCAGATGGGGTGACGGTATTTTCCCTTTTCCAAGCACTCGCCGTGTACACTATAATATCAGTGGGTTGGCATATCGTACGGACACGAAAAATATATTTGATTATACCTGCGGGCAAGCAGGAAAACACTAGTTTACTTTGCCTTTAAACATGTACAAATAACTTTAAGTAAAAAGTAAGGTTAAGGTCTTTATTTTACGTCGGTAATTAGTTAACATAGCTTGCGAAAACAGCCATTTCTTCTGGCTCCTCGCCGCCTGAGACGTTTCGCTAACGTCCCAGGCGGCGAGGAGTGAGCAGAACGGCTGTTTTCGCCAGCTACTGTTAACACTGCTCATTAGACTGACAAACCTGAGACGACGGTGCGCTCATCTCATCTCTCCCTCCCCTCCCCCCGGTCCCCCGTCCATCTGTTTCCATCACTGCTCCATTTTATGGGTATTTACAGCTACTTAAAGCTACACAGAAAGGAAAGAAGTCGATAGAAGGATTTGAGGTCACACCTGGGAATCAAAATCGGAACGTCCGGCACTGAAGTGCTAACCGACTGCGCTAATCCTTTCTCCGGCGTGAAAGGTTTGAATAAAATAAAGTTTATGGCCTTAACAGTTCGTGGATATGGCTCTACAAGGGTGACTCCTGCTTTGGATTTACAGCGGTGTATCATTCGCATTACTTTTCCGGTACACAAATCGGCTTTTCATACGTGACTAAAAGGTAGCATTCGGTAGGGTGTTTCGGCCAGTTGACAAAGCTTCAGTTTCCTTGCGACTAACTTGATGGCGAAAGAATAAAATGTTAGACTGGCTTCATCTGTACGAAGATCTCTTACATGCGAGCTGTATTTCTGTTTTTTTTTTTTTATTGTTGTTGTTGTTGTCTTTCTGCCATCTCTTTTGACTTGACGTCTTATTGGGGACTTCGGACAGCAAAAACTTTCATTTCTTAACGGTTCGTTTGACTTGGAACAAAAATCTGTGCTTGCAATGCCAAAAAATAAATATAGTAAAAATCCGGAACAAAGACACTGCAGATTATTAGAATCTTCGAGCTGAAAAATGCACCTAACGAGTAAGCAATACCTCAGTCTGACAGATTAACTCAAAACTAAACACACACTGATGCAGTTCCATTTCAACAAAAACACAGTAAAGTACGTAAACTAGAAGACATGCAACGTAAAAATACTTCACATTGACATTTGTTCTGTAAATAAGGTAGGCAAGCCTGGGTCGAACAAGATTATATAAACAGTTACCTGTTATCTTAAAAAAGAGCACCACTACGTGACAAAAATAAATCAAAATCGTAAAAAGTCAATAAAAAACAATAAAAAATGGCTTATTCTAACAGAACTCCCTTAAATTCGTTTTCAACACATTTTAATGGAAAATTTACAAATAGAACACTGAATTTGTGATACTAATAAAATATACATTATGATATTTGGTGAAAGCGAGTACAAAAAATGTTTCTTCAAATAGATCATCTACCTAAGAAACGATTCAAGTGCTTAAAATCTTAAAATAATTTATGATAATTAGAGGTTTCAACATAATATCCGGTTATAATTTAGGTCATTTCATTTTTCGAATATTGTATAAGTACAATAAAATGTATTAATATTTATCACCACTTTGAAAAAATTGCTCCGGAAGTATAGATGTTAGTGTTTTACTAAAGCCAACCCTCCGGTTAAAGACAATTTTGAAATTCATTTTTTTATATTCTGTTTAAGTACAATTTGTCTAAAATATCTTTTAAAATACTTGTATTTAACTATATTTCAATAAATTGCTATTGGAAGTATAGATGTTAGTGTTTTAAGCTACAAGAAAAGGAGCAACAAGAAACGTGCAATTTGTTGTGCAACATTGCTGCAAAACGAGTTCAGTAGCGATGTTGCACGTTTTACCACCCACGTACAAACTTGTCTCGCAACAAATAAGGTTGCAACGGTTTTTTTTGTCGTCGTTGTTTTCACCTCGTTTTGCAGCAAAGTCGCAAAACAAGTTGCAGGTTGTTTGTTGCCCGTTTTTCGTACCTTTGCTAAGCTCTACATCCGTGTTATCAGCGGTGCTTTCCTGTTCATTAGCAATACTATCCCTACCTAACTATCAGAGGCATCAAGAGCGTTTGGCATGCTGTCTAGGGGGTACTGGAGGCACGTCAGGTTCACTTTCATGGGGAGAAGAATGAGGTTGTTCAACGTTTCCGTACAGCTCATTAAACGTGATATCAGCTCCCATGTTGGAGATTCCAAGGCCGTCTGAATCATCATTACCAGTCCATGCTGCATCAATGATCGGCAATTCGTCTTCTCTGCTTTCCTTCCCCTCCCTTTTCGATCGTGAATCAACACGTCGCCGCAGGCTTCCTGCGTTCGGTACCGCGGCCGTTGTTGCTGAATCGACAAGCGGGCTCACATCTGATGTCCCCTCATACAAGGGGTTTAAGTCGCTTTGACTGCGGTAGGAAGTGGCAGACTGGTAAAGAGGATTTGAATCAGCCACGCTTCCGGACTTTGCCGAGGTGCTTACGACTGGCCCAGATTCATACAGCGGGTTCATATCAGCATGAGAACTTCCTCTGTCGGGTACAACGCCCCCTGTCTCATATATTGGATTACTAGCCACTCTTTTGCGCTGAACTCCGACGTCTAAAGTGCACTCGTAGTTTGGATTAGTGAGAGATTTCATCGTCGGAGATGTGGGTCGGTCCCCAGAGGGATGGAGGGAGTCCATGGGCATATCTCCAATATCATAAATAGGATTGACTGACACGTCTTCAGTCTCGTGGTCTTCGTCCTCGTCACCTTAACACAGTGAAAAGTAGACTATTACAATTTTATCATATAATAATAATAATAATAATAATAGTGAATATTTTAACAGGATCAAAAACCCATCAGTGTTTTAGCCTGCGTAGCATAGCGGTTTTGTAGAGCCGGGCGCAGGAGCGGCGAAGCCGCGAAAGTCGCGCGCGAAGCGCGCGAGAACGAGCGGCAAAGCCGCGAGAAAAATAAAGTTGCTCCCACCCCAATCTCCTCGCGGTTTCTCTGCCCTCGCCCACCTTTATTACTTAGCGCGCCCAACCAAAACCGCCATGCTACGCAGGCTATCAGTGTTTAAAAACACTGTTGTCAATGGGGGTCCTGTAAAAAAATGAATGAAATAAAACAAAATAGAAATAAATAAACAAACTGAAACAACTAAAAGACGAAAAGATAAAAGTAGGATACGATAGAAAGCTTAATGACTAAGATTATAAGATAAATGCTAAAAGATTATGAGCGTAAGATAAAATGCTAAATGACTATAACTTTATGGTTAAAACGATAAACGATTCATAGATTAACTAAAAGGTGATTTTAGTGTTTTCTTAAATAAAATTCTCGAAGTTATAAATTCGGTCCAATGCAAATTATACGTTGATTAGGGATCTTACGTTTCCGTACTCAGAACAAGTTGTTGCTTTCTAAAACCTGTCGGATATATTGTTCAACCGTCGACATCATTATTATTACTTAACGAATGTTAAACATCAACAATATTTCGTCAAAAAGCGACAAATTCCAAGACTTACCATTTGTCTTTCGGGATCTGATAAGTCTTCTTACCGAAAAGCTGAGTGAGAAAAGACAAAAAATATGAGAACAGTTAGTTGAAAACGACCCAGCCTATTCCAAGAACTCGAAACTTTCCTATGACCTAAACTCGACGAGTTTTTTCCAAGTTTTCCGAAAGATGCACCGCGTTACCTATATAGAAATTTTCAAAGGTTTAATTCGGAATTATTCAATGCCGGCGCTAACAAAA